GGCCGCTTGGATTTGCGTAGGGAGGACGTTGTATGCGATCGAGCTCGAGACAACTTTTTTAGGCTCATTTTCATACGAGGAATCCGAATATCACGTCGAAAATTTCATAAAATGAAAAGCAAAATTTAATGTTTAAACGAAAAATAAAAAGTGCTGAAATTTTGAATTACCTGCGCCTTACTTATGCCCCAAACTGACATTTTCAGTCAAAGTCGCTACTTTCGATGCAGTTTTTATTTGAGCGAAAGTAGATTAGAAGCTCACACGTTCGGACGTTGTAGTATTCGAGGCTCTCTATCTAATGGTGTTTTCAAAATTTTATGAAAATATTTGGTTTCGATACAGCATAGCTCCAAAGTGGACAAAGCATGAGTTTAAGGCGTGCCGGATACATGTCACTGTATGAGAAGGAAACCATTCCCAAAAGTCGGATTTGTTTCCAATCGAAGAAGAATGTTGGTTCTATTTATGTAAACAATTTGAGCTCTTTATCTTGTATGATGACCGAGATATGAGCAATACAAAGTTGTCAATATGAGTGATGTCGCATTTTTCAAAAGTGGATTGAAATTTTAAAATGCTCGTTTCTCAGCAACCAAACAATATTTTTTCGAACGGAAAACGCCATTTTATTCTCTTTCGGACGAGTTCTGTAATATACGTTTGAGCAGTGTACTACGTAACTCGGTCGCCGCTTATGCGAAATGGCTCTTAAGAAGCACTATAGTTTTGTTTTTGTGATTGAATTTCATGGTGTATAGACCATTCAACGTCAGTGGATTAAAGCATGAAATTGGTGCTAGGGAAGGTGACCCGAGAACAAATGCTGTGATAGTAGAAACGAAGGAACACTAAAACTGTTCTAGCAATTGACAACGAGAAAATAGAAAGTCGCAGCAATAAAATACTCGTTGACAATGTTCGTGCTGCTAATCGATCACTCCTAGAGTATACGAAAGTTTGCAAAGTCCATTGGGCTATTTACTCAATCTACTGGGCCCAAACTGGACTGAACTAGATTTCTTTTAGTCCGTTGACTGTATCGGACTCAAAATTTCGAATCTGTACGGATGAGGGTCAACTAATAATCGGATTAATTCGCGCAGTATAGTGGAGATGGTCAAGGAAAACAGGACCTCCACAATATGCATTGCTCGGGACTTGGAAATGCTGCCCTTCAACTCAGAGGTCCTTGGACTAAAATAACTTTAATAACCATTTTCAAAGACCTTGCTACGTTGAGAGAATGTCTACGTTTTCAACAACCGTCCTAGGCGAATCAGGGCTGCTCCCGCAGTTAATTGTGTCCTATAGAATAGGCACAAAAAATGTTTTCGACACATCAGCAGTGTTTTTTGGCTGTTCTATACCGATAACATAATTCAATTCTCTCTTCACTTCACGCTTCATCGATTATTATTTGATTTTGTTCTGAGAGCAATAAAAAATAATAACCATTGATTATACGTACATACCATACATTATTTTTCCTTGCTTACTGTTTTTTCGGCAGTTGCAATGCGCACAGTCTGCAAATAAACGAGGTTTCGTTACCCTATCGAAAGACGCGTTTACATGAAAAAACATTTTTTTTCTAGAAATTTACTCGTCCTGTTCTTCGTTATTTGAAATCTATGAATCCAAATTTTTGTCCCTGGAACCCTTTAATCTCGGTGATATGATATTTGTAAAAGATGTTAGCGAGTTCAGACAAAAATGGCATATCCGATTATTTTCAGTTTTTGACGTCAGATTTTGTCCGTTCTTTGCATCAAATTTTCTGTATAGTAAACTTCGTATATCATTGTCTGACTCTTCTTCCAATTGTTGGTGAAACTTTATTGATTTATCCTTCTATTTATTTATTAAAGCCGACGAGAGTAAGTAGAACGAGTAGCAGAGAAGCAATAGATTCAAGTGGGGCAAAAATAATCACAATTTTGGCGATTTTGTGTGTTTTCTCTGTATCTCAGCGGTTTTGGACCATTTTTTCAATAACTGTTGTGAAACAGTTTTAGGCGAGATTCTTGGCTCTCGAATGATGTAGAAAACATTGTTATGTGACATTTGACACAGGAACAGGAGCAAAAACTTCCGTATTGGATGTCAAACGTTCTTTTCTTTCCACATCTAGGGGTATTGTTTCATTCAGTTCGCTTTAAAGATTTTTGAGAGTACTGTCCTTTAACAGCGTAGCTTCTGTTATTGTCATCAAATATCTGAAAATAAACAAACGTTTTTCTTGCTATTCTTTACACCTGAATCATGCACGAGTATGATAGCAGAATAAGTGTCGTTGTATTGCATGCCGCGTCGTCAGAATGAAGGTGAATACGATAATATTCATGTATGAGTTAATCAGTAAGTGATGCAAGAAAAGAATATAAACAGAAGTGGAAAGAAAAAGGAAAACTATCACCCCAACGTATCTGAAGGGAAGATTACCAAGTTTTATTAACTATTATAGCCATAAACCTTTAAAATTATTATGGGTACTACTCCAGTAGTGAAATATCCGGCAACTTTTATATGCCCCATCACGCATGATGTCATGGAAGATCCTGTAATGGATCCAGATGGTAACAGTTACGAGCGAGGAGCAATTATTAACTGGTTATCGCGAGAATCAACATCACCCATTACGAAAAAGTCATTGACCGTTGCAGATTTGGTACCAAATCAAGCTCTAGCCGCCGCCATTGAACAGTTTAAAATCACTAATAACATTTCTAGGCGCACTCGGCAAGTTGCCGCTGCTTCATCCACAGAACCGATGGATGTTGATTTAAATGTTCAGGTTAGTTATTCTGATGGTTATAGTCACATTTCTGTTCAACCACCCGTTGGAACACGTCGATCACCGTGTGACATCTGCTGCGTGGTCGATACTTCGGGATCGATGCAGGTTGAAGTAGAGACGAAAAATGAGAAAAATGATGTAGAAAAATTTGGTCTTTCACAACTGGATTTAGTCAAACATGCTTTAAAAACAATCATTCTTATTCTCGACAAAGACGATCGGCTGGCACTCGTCTCATTCAGTTCAAAAGCCACAGTTCGATTTCAACTATTGAAAATGGATCAAACTGGAAAACAAAAGGCACTGGTTGCCGTTGAACGGTTGGCTATAGAAACGTCAACAAATTTATGGGATGGACTGAAAACTGGTCTCGATGTTCTTAGAAAAGATTCATCAGACAAAACAAATTCGGCTCTATTTTTATTAACCGATGGACTAACAGATTGCGAACCACCAAATGGACATATTTCAGCGTTAAAACGATACATAAAGCAAACACCATTTTCATGTATTGTTAACTGCTTCGGGTTTGGTTATTCACTTGACAGTCAACTACTAGAAAAAATAGCCGTTTTTGGAAATGGTGAGTTCCCTTCCTGTTTGTTTAACGCTTTGAGTGTTCATGACATTTTTACTAAAAAAATGTTATATTTCTTCAAGTCTTAATTTATAATGCCTAGCGATCATCGACTTTTCAATGGTGAGGGGAACTTTTAGTTCATGAGACAGGAGTATCTTCATAAGTGGTTTCTCTTGTCAGATGCAATTCTTACTAGACTGATGTCATGTTAATTTGTACAGTCGTAAGTGTTCTTATAAAAGCTCTAGTCAAACCATTAAAACTTCGGTCATTTTTGAGTACCTTGACATCCGTCGACGATTGTATCAAATACACACGTAAAGATTCGCAGATACTGTAGTCATTTTTTGTGGTTATAATTCCATACATGAAAGTGGAACGCTTTTGATTATTTTCAGGAACATATTCGTTTATCCCAGACGGAGGATTGGTTGGAACGGTGTTTGTTAATGCATTGAGCACTTTATTGACTACAGTCGCCACCAACGTTTCGTTAGTAGTCAAGCTACCACAAAATTCAACTGTACTCGAAACAGAATATACAGAATTGTACGAAACTCAAAATATGGGAGATGATGGATTGAAATTCAACCTTGGATCGATTATGTATGGTCAATCAAAAGATCTGATAATTCCTTTGCCTACTTTGGAAAGTCATTCTCCATCTTTCAACGTATCATTGCATTACACATCCCCGTACAAAAAAGCATTTATCAGTACAAATACAACACTGGTAGAAAAAAAGGACAAACTTGCCAGAGACATTTTAATTCATCGTTATCGTTTGGAATTCGTTTCAAAAGTAAAAAAAGCAATGAATTTGATGAAATTTAAGTCGATGTCCGAAGCTCTCGAGTTAATTCGAACATTTGAAGGACAAGTGAAGTCATCCCCGGTTAAGGATGAACCATTTATTGTTGATCTGATGAAAGATTTGACTGGTCAGGTCACTGAAGCTATTTCGAAAGCAGAATGGTTTGAAAGATGTAAGTCTATTGATCGCTGATATGTGTAGATTATAAATGACTTTTCTCTAGGGGGAAAGCACTATCTGCCATCAATAACACGAGCTCATTTATTGCAAATCTGCAATAATTTCAAGGATCCAGGAGTGCAACACTACGGTGGTGAATTGTTTAACCGCGTTCGTGATGAAGTGGCAGACATATTTGAGACGTTACCCATGCCAAAACCATCGGTTGCCATACGAACAGAAAAGCCCATTACCATGAATACCTATTACAACGCTGCTGGTGGATGCATCTGGGGTGAGTGTATGGTGACAATGTCAGATGGACGACTAAAATCTGTGAAAAATATTCGACGAGACGACATTGTTTGGGGAGGAGCGAAGGTCGTTTGCGTGGTGAAAAGTGTGTGCAAAAATTCGCAAGCAGAAATGATTCAATTTGAAAATGGTCTTGTCATCTCTCCATGGCATCCGATACGATTGAATGGAAACTATTGGCACTTTCCTCATGAAATTGACTGCGCTGCCTGTTCAATTCAAGTTGAGGCGGAAGAGGTATACAATTTTGTTCTCGACAGTCAACATACGATGATGGTGAATCGTATAGAATGCGTCACATTGGGTCACGGTTTTAAAGGAGAAGTTATCGAACACGTGTACTACGGAACAGCAGATGTCATAAAAGATCTTCAAGCTCTTGACGGATGGAAAAGCGGTTGTGTAGTTGTGAAGCCCCATCAATTAATTCGAGATAAAAAACAAGACTTGTAACTCGAATTAAAAACACATTCGACACTGGGGCCTAGAGATTCGAGTGCTTCGAAGACATTGGAGTTATTTTAGCAATCAGTAGACTTTTATTTCTGTAAAACAAATGAAAAAAGTGCCTGTTGAATGATATCTATAGCGCAAAATGAATAAGATTAATTTATTCTCAAAAGAGCTTTGAACTGGAAATATTTTGATATTCATTAAAGTGGACGATACGATAGGTAAAAGGAGGGTAAAAAGACATGTTTTATTTCATTCTGAGCACATGTACATTGCTTGCTTTTTCTGTTTCTTATCATAAAACTTGTACCTTCATTCGACTGATTTTGAATAAAGACGAAACGCCTCGATAAAAAGTAGATCATTTTAAAATGAATAAGATAGTTTCACTCTTACTATATGTACAGTTTCTATTCATCATTCTCTTTTTCAGGCAGCCTATACAACAAATAATGAAAATAAAAGTTTTATAGATATCGACAGCAGAGGATTCAGAATCTGTGCTATATAGCTAAAGTTATGCAGACGATAAAGTACCTAGAAAGTATGTAATTCGAGTTTACCATTTGACTAAGCCTTCAAGATTCAGTATAGTCTTGGAAACTAGAGTAAGTCATATAGTGTCGTCTACAACTGATCAGATTTCTTTCAACAATTTAAATCCATGATTAGATATAAGAGTAAATACCATATTGAAAACGAACAAAGGTAAAAGGACAGAAAGGTACAAGTTCTTGCTGTTCACATACATTTGCCGATATATATATATCACTTGATTCATCACTGTTAGATTATATGTGCGCGTCTATGCATCCTGATACGTTCTCATTTCTGTATAATTATAATCAACTTTAACTGAACACTGTCTTAAATAGTTTTTTATGTATTTGACTAGAAATATCCAAGTTAATTGTCTAGTATTAGCGAACACCAAAGAAACTTAGGGATACCCACCCTCCTGTTTTTTGAAAAAATTTCGATTTTGAGTTTGGGCTACAAAATGAGACCACTATCAACATTCCAAAATTTTTTTGGAAAAAGTTATGAACTTTTGAAGTATTTGATCGAAGACCCAAAATTTCTCCTGAGATGCAGTCTGCGCTGTCTATGTTCAAGATTTGAGCTCGATCGGATCAGTTTTTCAAGACTCGTAACGTGACTGGATGAAAACCCATAGAAATGATACAAAATTCTGAGCAAAAACAAATCGTTTTTCTTTTTCCATGATCGATGTCTGGTAAAATGTTGAAGCCGATCGGACATTCGCTTCCGCGTTCTTCACTGGGATAAAAAATGAAAGGGATACCTAATAGTTATAAACTAATCAATACTCATTAAAAAGTAGAACGTAGTAATGGGTGAACCCTGCACTAAAAAGTGTACCAAAAGTCACTTTTTCTTTGAACACTTTTCGAAAAGATCACTTCTAAAACAATGGGGAGCAGATCGACACTTTTGAAAATGATCTATAGTAGACTACATTTGAGAAGAGGGCACTTTCAGACGTAGCTAGATGAGAACTAAGTGTTCCAAATTCCAGAACAGAATATTTTTGGAAATATTTCGTAGTGTAGCATCTTGAAATGATATAGTCAATGGCTGATATGTTGCTTATGTCGATATACTATGCTGCTTTCAGTGTTCTAAATTATGCATTCATCATCCATAGAATTCCGTGTGACTGAAATCCATTGTTTTCCGTCTAACTGATATATTTAATTCGATTTAAACTGTCTTTTCTCGTAGTTCTACATAATCAGCTGTTGAAAAGAGTTTATTCGTACACTGACGTATATTGAATGAAAGAGTGTATGACAGAGAAAGAGATTGTAGAGATATACTGTATTTAAAAAAAATTCAATTTTTCGTTGGGCTACAGAAGAGAGAAATAAAGAACGCATAGAAGTTATCTGCCTAAATGCACGGGAAAAATGAGCTGCGTAAAAGTTATCGTTTCATGTGCAGAAAGTTAAACATGATATTGTGTATCACATTGGCTAAAGTATAAGATGACTGTTTCAGTCTAACCGACCCATCTAATTTTAATATATATATGTGTGTGCAAAGTGATAAAAACGCGACCATATTCTTCTGATGTAAAAGATGGACAATCTGAAAAACTACTTTGTTTTTACCGATGCTCCTCATAAAAAGGTAAAAGGAATATGTAAGATATGTGACGAAATTTATAGTGAAAACAAGAGTTATACATCCAATTTTCGCCGCCATTTAAAACAGTCTCATCCTCTCCAATTTGGTAAACTAAACCAGCGCATTTCGAAACGAACAATTGATATTTGCTCATGAGAAAAATGATAGACGAATCACTCATTTGACTGATGAAGAATGGTCCAAACAAGAAAATATTAACATTTCAATTGTGAGAGACCTTATTGTGAAATGTAATTTACCACCATCACTTATTGAACATGCTGAATTTAAATCATTTATGTCTATATGTTCACCAAGATGGAAACCCATCTCAGCACGAAATATCAAACAAAATTTAATTAAAACATGCTCAAGAAATCATTGACTCCAAATTAAAAAACGGAATGGCTATTGACACGCCCGGGCGTGTCAACACGGAGCTATTGCCACTCCCAGGAGTGTCAACAAGATGCTATTGCCACTTCCAGAAGTGTCAACAAGGAGCTATTGTCACTCCCTGGGCTTGTCAAAAAGGAGCTATTGCCGCTCCCGGCAACGTAGCTGACGGGGTGCTGTATGTACTATAGGTATTTTACATGTTAAAACAAAGAGAAATAAAATAGAATAGTAGAAAAAGAAAAGACGTAGAAAGAAGTTATCTATCTTTTGGGGCTTGTACATATGTGAATTGAATAACTGAAAAAGAAAAGGGATGTGGAGAACGTTCTAGGCGTAAAGTTACATTATCTTTTTAAACTTATAGTATAAATACTGTGTTAGCATCTTATTATTTATTCTTTCAGAAAAACACCATCTTCTATCATCATCGTTCGATCTAGT